CCCGATTTTATGGCCTTCCACAAGATAGATTAACCACTCAGGTCATTCCTAGGGTGGACCATTTTTAGATGCAGATAAATCATCCTGGATATGATTTGTGCAGTAGTGCTCATCCACACAATTCACAACTTTCTCCTCATTACAGTTCTGAGTTCCTACATCTGAAAATTTCAATTACTAATTCAGAATTTGTTGATAGGAACCACCTATTGATTATTTTTACTTAGAAGCTGGTGCAAGCAATTAATCTAGGTTGATAAGAACTCGCTGGTATTGATGGTTGAATTGTGAAACCTTGTTTACTGTTAGCCTGATTGCCATATAACTGAATAAAAGGAACAAGAAACGCCCAAAACCTGCAGCGTAATGAGACTATCCAAGTCCTATGACTGGACCTAATCTAATCCTCTATATAATATATAATATAATATATAATACGATACGCCTATTACTCTATCCGTTTCATACGTTAATATGTGATAAAACCTCTTTACAAAATGATTTGACAAACGATAACGGTTTACAGGGGTAACTGCGTTCAAGTTATATCGGTAGCTTCAGTGTCCATTGATCATTTTAATATTCTGTCTCTGGACAATTTATATGGTCCCTGCAGGAATCCTTCTTTTTACTGCATAGATCCCAGCCCGGCAGAAAAGCCTTAGCTTAGTAAAATGATAGGCTGCCTGATCTAATTTTACAGAACTCTTCACTGGTAGAACATTCCATCCGTGGAATGTCCAATAAGAATTTTACTTTTACCAGCAACAATGTAGAGGCAATAAGGTAGCGCTAGTAGCCAGGAAACGCATATATATATGCATATATAAACAGCTTAAGAGAAGTATGGTGCTAATGCCACAACACTAATAACAGCAAAAGGGGATTGGGGATTAAGATACAGAACAGAGCGCAATCGAGGTTGAACAACTGTATTCGATAACCAGAATAACAATTTTTGTCTTACCGTACACTTGATATTTTTTGATATTTTAGTTTATCATTATTTTTTCGGGGTACGGGGGTTCAACAGGCAAATCGTACAACATTTGCACCACTGATTCCTATTCTGGACGATATCTCTCAGCGTCTCTAACCAGCGACAATCCTCTTCCATTGGGTCCCAACCTGGGAGGTGGGCTGCACCAACCAAACCCAAAGCTGGCTTCTTTATACCTCCACGGCATGTCATGGTCTGACCGCTGAGACGTTTCTTCCAACATTACACAGTACGTGCAAAAAGAGCACGGCAAGGTGGACAATGGACTGACATACGCCAATCGTAACCAAGCCGTCGGAGGCGGTATAGAGCGATTACTTCCGTAAGAGTACTACTATCCGCACTCAACACATGCCAACGAACCTAATCATTGCTCATACGATTTTTCCATTAGACACGAGCAATGCTGTTGATTGCTGTCTTCCGGCTATGCAATCATATGGAAGATTAGAGGGAATATTGTGAGCTCGGAAGCAGTATTCATTTAAAAAGGGTAAAGTTCATATAGACTAAGGATATTGAGTAGATGCATGTTTGCCACTGTTTGGTATACTTAGCCACTTCACTTGGTGTCTCTAACCATCAGTTATACTGACCCCGAGGTCTCCGACCAGGAAGCGTGATGTGAACGAAATAACCCAGTCTCCTAGACCAGTTCAGTTCACTTTTGACAACCATTAACCCAGCTTTTACGTGTGGCGGACTTGGTTGCTGTCTTCAGACCAACCGATAAAAGTACTTCACACTGCAGCGTGATAATCGTGACCTGCCACTGCTTTCGCCTCAAGGGGATTACACAGCACGGTTTCACAGAAGGAGCAAAAGGTTACCTGCTAGTCTGAAATAGTCTTAATGCATTGCAGACTGCAATTGAATGTGCTGAAACTGGAGGCGCAACCTCGAACAAAACCACTGAATGAGGTGTTGGTAGCCCACGTGCTTACCACTGGCTGAAAAAGTAATAAAAAGCTTGGAATGGTACTGAAAACACCGTTCTGTATGCTATCCAAACGAAGCTCTGTGGATAATGTATAAGAAGCCGACTTAAACAGGAAATAATGAAAGTAGTGGTATGTGTGGTAAATACTAAAAGGTGGTATTTGGTTATGCTGAGTAAAATTCACCGTTGTTCTTGGTACACTTATTGTTTTATCGGGCGTTACCTAAGGAAGGCTCCAACATGCGATAATCTGCAATATATATCAGTATTTGATTAAGTGACTATAATTATTTTCTTTCCCTTAACATTTATTCTTTACTCCGCTGAATGGATAATTGTGCGAACAGCTTTTTCTGGGAGAATGAACAGACAGTTGTAGGGGTTCCATTTGATAATAAGAAATGAAAGTAGTCATTCTGCAGTGGCGCAGTCGTTTAATCGCTGTCACTGGTGTGCTTTGGACCTTTTGGTCTAAATTTCGAGCCCTGATATCGTCATCCAACTTAGGTGGTAGACAGCTTTCCTTTAATCCGGTCTAATACCACACCAAACCCAGTGTGGCTTAAGGTGGTTCGCCACTCCAAGTGCCTGGGCTTAGATTACCTGTTACGATCACCGAACCAGATCAATCGGGTGATTTGTCTCCGTTATCTAAATAGCAATCACAGTTGCTTTGTTTCTAACCCGTCCGTTACCAAAGAATTTAGAGTGGTGGTTTTAGGTACAATTTCCTGAAGTTTATTGGTTCAGCATGTACTTTTTATCACGGGAATAAATTGGTAAATGGAAAATGAGTTCGCCTTCACTGGTATTCTGTATTTAATATGTGATGGCGGCATCTCGTTCTCATCCTCTCAAAGTCTGCCTACCATTTTCGTTGGTTGGGGCATGTGTTAAGCATGTCATCAGATAGGTTGCCACGCCGAGCAGGTGGAGATTGGAAAAAAACCGAGGATGTTCAAGTTAAGACTTGGTATGAGGGTATGAAAACCCTAGGCGGGCCCGTTAGGCTCCATGGCTGGGGACCTCGGGATGATCGTACCCGATGGTTAGAGATACTTAGTGATATGGCTTTGTTCTAAACAATGGCGTCCGTGCATCTCAATTTCTCTGCAAGATCAGTCCACAGCATGGATAGGGGATGAACAGAAATGCATAGAACGCAAAGTTTATATGCAGCAGTCAATTAGCAGTTTCGTGAAAGCTTTGAATTCACCAGCCGCCTCTTCATGCTTGCCCCAAGCACATCACCTACATATTTGAGTAGAACCTCACAAAAAGAATAGTGGAGGATTTGGTTTGATTAAGCCCAAACTGTCGTCTCGTACAGAGCAAACTTAACGTGAACTGAAAAGGCTCCCAGTTCAATTCTCAGTTAGGTCGATGGGTTTGCATTGCTGGAGAGACCCGACAAGATCGAAACAACGGTGCAATGCTTCCGAGGGTTTTTTGGTTTACGTTTCTTTTGCTCTGTGTACGATGAAATTCCTTAGACAATCTAATTGAAACCCCACCTACTTTCTTGTGTCGGAATTGTTTACTGTGAATGAAAGATAACTGTGGAAATGAAATTATTGTCTTTCCCATGGTAATTTTTATGCACCAATTACTGGATGGGACTATATCTCTGATGGCTGATAACATATCTATTAACACAGGCTGGTTTTCTTTTTGTTATTCCACATTTAAGTTTTTAGTTGAATGGATGCTATTGAAATCTTCCAGCAAGTGGTTTGTGTCCATGTTTAAAACTGCCACCAGTAGGACATGATCAAAGTACCGTTTTTCTAGGTTGCCATGTTTGATTAAGGCGTCTCTCTATCCACTTAATCTTCCCCGCCTGGTGTACCGCCATTTGAAGATGTGACACTTACCTTGTTCACTCATACACGCGCACGTTGCGACCTTAAATCATTGTTCTCCATTTGGTATTGTGAACCGTGTTTATTTTTTGGCATGATTAAGAATAAATAATCATGAGGCTATTCACCAAATGTTGTTTGTTTTCGATTATGTTTTGGTTGACATCTTGTACTAGAGTGTCAATGTTTCTGCATCAGGGGAAAAAAGGTTTGAGGGGACATGCTCTAAAAAGCACTTTATATCATAGATGAAGCGTGTCACATTTAAACCAACTGCCGATCACGTCGCCTGACACTGTCTCCACTGTTCTCCTCTAGTTTACATTGAGATGTGGGTTTATTGAAAGATTGTAGATGGTTGCTGTATAGAATGACTTCTGCATGAATGATTTTCTTTGGTTATCGTTTTTCGCGCATGATTTGAAATGTTCTTCTCATCGCACGTTATACCACTGCACATATTTTAAAGTACTATGCATGCACTGCCTATCGTGTCAATAGATTTTAGGCTTAACTAGATCCAATCTTGTCACCGCTGCAGACTCTATGATGGGCTCACTCAGTACATCATCATCATCATCGTATAGCGAGATGCAGAGAAGCGAACTTCAGCGATCGCTGCCAAGCTCACAATGTACACAAAATAAGGGAAGAAGTACAAGATGGATAGGGTTTGGGCCTAATTAGAGGGAAGTAAAGAAAGTGAACCTCTATGGTCAAAACAACGATTACACAACTCAGCTGTGCGAAAATCCCCTGTTCAAGCATTCTGACTTGATTAGAAATGACAACAAGAACGCCACTGATTTCGTTTAGCTGCCAGATCCTTCAGTATCTCCAACCAACTAGCTACAGGGTTCTGCAGACGTCAAGCTGGAAAGCAAGAGACACTTAAACTACCTAATTGCTCTGCATTTCTTCTTGCCTCGTTTCTACGCCGTCTGTTGACCTGCACGTGCCACTCAGTATGTCAGTAGATGGATGCATCATCGTGCTGTCACCAAAATTCACTCTTGAATTTTACCAAAACGTCGTCTGCCTTTTGCGTAGTCAATACTTATATTTTCTCTTCCGTTATTGTGTGATTCACTGGAATTCGTCTAGATGGTCCTGCACACATTTTCGTTTTTGCCATTATGATGTTTCTCTCTTCTCAATGTTGCGCTGTGATTTTGCATATATTTGAACTATCCCCGCAATGCTGATTGGCAACGTGTCTATCATTGTTGTTGTTGTTATTGCGTTTTATCCTTCAGCTGATTTCTACCATGCTTCAACCTATGTGGAGATGTTTGATGCCTCCCCCAAAGTCTCTCTTCAATGGTCTTGGGAAATCAAGTTCCATTACTTCACAAACGATGTAAGCTGTGCAAATTTAGCGAGATGAACGACAAATATTAATCATCGTCATCATCATCATCATCATCACTCCACCTCAACCCTCTTATTTCACATTCCAGTCCACTAACAGTTCGTCTGTTTGGTTATTTGAACCCAAATCCAGTGAGTTTCAAGTGCTAGATGTAATATCTGGATCGGGTGAAAACAACTCTTTCCAACTGATCATCAAACCAATCTTGATCGATTTCAAAGAGCTGACCGAATTGAAGCTCACCGTAATTGTCGAACGGTTTGAGAAGTATTTTGCGTGGACAAATATGACCATGGATTTCAAATTTTTCCCCAATGTCATTGGTTTGTTTCCAAGTACGTGAGCAGTGCCATCAAGTAATCCGTCACTTTGTCTGTTTAGCTGAAGCACAGACTGTCAATTCCAGCACACACAAGAAATTTTTCACCAGAGTTGATGAGACCTATAAATGCGAATCCAGGATTCCCATCCCAATGGGACCGCACGTGACAATCGTGTTCTCAGACATGACGTTCCAAGCATTTGAAGCCGAAACTGACCCACCAGCCAATCGTAAGCATCCTCATTTACTCCCATGCGATCTAACTGCTTACCTCTGCTCATCTAGGATTGCAAGAAGTTTGTCCGCGTGATTTTCATTCCAACATACCAATCACAATCCTCACCGGATGTTCGTTGTTATTGATTGTCGTCGTGGCTGGAGTGATTGCTGGCGTAACCATTTATTTGGATCGAAGAAAAAGCAAAGAAAACTAACAGTCGTATTCGGTTAGCGTGGCTGATCCCCCCGAATTGAGGCTGGACAACTACTACTAGACCGTGTGTAAAGTCGGAGAAGGCAAGGATGGTGCGTCTTCATCGCTGCCGCACACTTGACTGATTAATTCAACCAATTCAACACAAATGGCTCAACCTATTTCACTTTCCTATTTATATGTTGTTTCTTCAGTGCAATCTGATCGTGATCATCACTGCACGTGTCCTATATATTTGCATCCATTTTTTTCATCTTGCCCAGGTGTTGCATGCAATGTACTTAGCTTGGTTTACATCTGTTGTTCATTTGTGGTGATCCACTGATCCCTATCATCTGTTCTTCTCTCTCTCTCCCCCCCCCCACCTACATTAAGCTGAAATGTGCTGTCTTCCATGTGTAACTAGTACGAGATTAGCTCGTCCGTTGATAAAGTTTTTCTTCCTTTTGAGTACGCAATCATCAGCGCCACCGTCGCGATCGATTCAATCATTGCACTTTCGGTTCACATTCCACAGTAAGCAATCTCGGTTTTATCCGCAAACAAGCGCCACTTTAGACAGTGAAAATCATCCATGAAATACTGCGGAAAATACAAATAAGAGAGACGATAGTACTGCTAAAGACCAGTGTGTATCTGATTCGACAATACCAAAACTGATACCCATTTTTCTACTACGCGTCAATGCGTACACCGCCGATTCTGTCACGCCACATGTATCCTTTGGCTTGTATGTTTGATACGAACGCACACACACACACTGCTGTTGTTTTCCTACATTCTACCTGTATCTAATTCTTTGCGTTCAAAGATGATTTAAAAAGAAAGAAAGATATTTCAAAGCGATCCTCACCGCCAGATTTTGTTCACAGTCTCGGTAGAAATAGTCATACACAGAGTTCCGCCCGTCTGTTGAACAATAACCAGCTTTGTAACTAACTGACTACAGATGCGGTCCGTTTCTCTAAACAATGAATAAATTTTGTTTGGTGATGCTGTAAAATGTTTTGCTTGTCTTCTGTGAAAAGTTTGGCATAATAATACATAGTGCTTAGTAAGGTCATTGGTCTTAGATGTCGAATGGTGCAGCCCTGAGACCGGTCAACTAGGTGAGTTGATTGTTCAATTTGGCGAAAAATTGAATGTTCAACTACAGTCCAACTAACTCGAATAGTCACAGATTCGAAAATCTGGGTGCGCTGGTTCCAGTTAGTTCACCGAATGCGAGTAATTTTACCGGTAAACGGTGAATCAGCCATGCTTTGTTGCCTGTTCAGATTTATTAAATATATCACATAAGCATTTAACTCGCAGCTAATTGTGAGTAGTGGTGTGGAGTAATTGATAATGATTGATTTGAACTGACTATCCTTCGGACTTCACCTTCAATCATCCCACACCACTACTCACAAGTAACTGTGAGTAATCAATCAAGCCTGGTAGGTTTGTAGCAAGTCAGCCCGTGACCTGCGTGGAAGTCCTGACTGGGTGGGGAGCTTTCGATGGGCGTTAACCGATTGTCAGCTGTCTCCCTTAGTTGCTATTGAACCAAAATGAATTACTATAATTACACTATCACGACACCTGAACAAACATGAATTGGCAGTTCGGTTCCGTCATGGTACGAACTGGTCAGCGCAGTAGTAACGCACACACCTTCCATGTGATGGGTCTGGAGTTCAAATCCCGGAGGGGATGGTGGATATGCACCACTGATGAGCACTAATAAGAACGAAACTCGAGTCTAGTGCTTCCGAGTGTATAGTTGAATCGATGAACTGGGGATTATGGGTGAAGGTGAAGTCCGATTGATGGTCAGTTCAAATCAGCCAAATAACATAAGCTGCGCAGTACGGTGCAAGAAAACCAATTGAGTGCTTTATTAGAGCTGTTAAATATGAAATAGCGGTCGTCACGAATAATGCATAACTCACCGTGTGAACCATCGATTTATCTGTGCCAGATATCCCATGGGACAGATTGTAAGCATTTCCAATGATCTAACTACTTTCGATTTTGATTTCAATTACATGCAACGAAACTAGTCTTCAACCACCTGTGGCGAAGCAAATACTTTCTGTCTCTCATCCGCGTAGCTGCGAGCGTGTCCACACTGTGAAACTCTATCCTGCGGATTGTTGAACTAGCTTTTTGCACACACGCTAGTTACTCTGTTCTCACAGATTTCAGCGAAGTCGGTACAAACAGTATTCCGCAGTATGCTCGCCAGCGCGTCTTCTCGATGATACTTAGCAATACGGTTGGAGACACCTCGTCATACGAACGCATGAAATAGCGGACGAGACGGCACCTGTAGGACAATGAAAAAGCACAATAAGGCAAATTTGACACACACACACACACCTAACCGAACCGGGCCTTACAAGGTTCGCCAATCCAGATCTTGGATTTTCGTTTTCCGTTACTGAAAAACAGCTCTTTGTGATTATGGGAAGGGGGGGGGGGGTGTCTACCTCGGTTGCTGTTCATCACATAAAGGGTTGCTAATCATTACATTCTTTTCAAAAATTGGACTGTGCTTCGGCCTAATAAACTATGGTATATCCTAATGAACCACTTTTGTGGATGTAAGATCTTACACCCATTCTGGAGTTTTGTGCACATGTATAGTCTACAGAATTTGATTTGATTTCCCCTCCTCACAGGGTGGACAGGTTAGGTGACTGCAAAACACCTCTTGTCCCAATGTTTGTGATCCGTCGCACCGCCTCTAGGATCGTTTGGGTGAATGTTTATTATGCACTGCGAAGTTGCTGTGCTGTGTTGTGTGGCAACTTCAACATCATCGTACAGCGAAATACAGGGAAGCGAACTTCACTGATCGCCGTCAAACTCGCATAAGCATAAGCATTAGGGTTTGATGGACTAGTACTGCTGTGGGTGTCCAGCCAATAAGCAGGAGAACCATTAGGGTTCTCAACCAAAGCATTCAGTTCTGACAAGAACTTAGCCGCAAGACAGCGGGTGAAGCAAAGTGGAGGTCCATTTACTTGGATCAATTATTCCTCCACCATTTTTAACCGACTGAAACGCAAATTTTAGTCAAACCCCCAACCTGGAGGACCAGGAGACTGTTCTTGGTCCAACCACTACCCTTTGATCTTTCAGGCATAATTGCATCTTCGGCTTGATAAAAGCCGTCCTGTGTCGCTCTTTGGGTTAGAGAGGTGCACAAGTCATCACACCGCAGTCTCGTCGGGATGGTGTTTCAAATTATTACCACTAAAACGAAGTCAGAGACAAAGGTAACTTTGTTGAATTGCAGTATATGGGTCATTGAGCGCCCGCGGTTCAGCATCACTTTGATATTATTTCATATTTTTTCTCGGGTTGTAATCAGAGCAAAATTGCGCTCTGGTTGCCCAATGGCTCCAAGGCAATCAAATCAGCTTCCTTGGAACTGCGTTTGTTGCGTGCATGAACTTGATAATTGAACAAGCCAGTGTTGATCATACAGGACTGGAAAAATGAGAGAAATTGTGCAATTAGACTTGCGATTGCTGATAAATCAAAAGCGATAGAATATATATTTTTAAAGTAACAAATGATTATAATTCCTTGCCTCTCTGGGGAAGTACAGAAAATGGGAAGATGGGTGGTGTTGGAGGTGTTGTGAGGTTAGAACTCAGGACCTCACCACTCAACCACCGCCGCTCTCACTCAATGGAGCTGCAATCAACGTATTTTGGATTTAATTCCTACGCCTTATTGTTGGCGCTTTGGAATTAGAGCTTGTTAACCCAGTCATTACCCCAAAGATCTTCTCAGCACTTTACTCTGATAAAAATACTCTTGTCATACGAGTTAAATTTTCTAACACTCGGCTGTGAAGGCTGGCATGAGAGGGCATTTGTATTGGAGTATGCATTGACAGATTGTTGCAGGCCGGCATATCCACAATTTGTTTCGTCTCATTTATCAATTGAATGAACATACTAAGCACAGCAGTATCATTAGCAGTGGCAGTAACAGCAACTTTGAATATCACATAATGCGACAGAACAATAACTAAAATGTGTCTGGTACCGCCAAAACAGGATTTATGGGATGTGATATAGGCGCAGGAAAGAAATGGGATTAAGAACACCACAAAATATTTTGAAAAAGAATAAAGTGCATCACGTCAAGCATAATACATACAAAGGGTGATCGTCATCGGTGAGAAATACACTGGATTCCATTTGCTGCTTGTCCCTAAATTGCTAGAGCTGTTGATGTGTAAACTTTGTATGCAAGCCATCCCTCTCTATGGTAATTTACTGTTCAAAATTTAGATAACAAAACCAGACGGGTAATAATTAAAAAATTGAACGCATTCGTTTCAAAATGACCAGGTTTCAAACGNTCGTTTCAAAATGACCAGGATTCAAACGTTTGCAGAGCAAATGGTAGTAGTTTAAATTACCATTGGAAAATGAATTCGATGAAGCGGAAAATGAATACATCAGATAGTGGGAGGCAGAAATAAATCACAATAGAGATAAGTTCTGAAAAAAAAATAATAATTCCGGTGCAGACCAACTTCAGTTAAAACAAGTATTGACGACTATGCACTTTCGTGCTTCGGTTTTGGTTGCTGTCTTTTGGCTACCCATTTGGATGAGGGAGTCAAAGAAAGATTGGAATGTTAGAAGCAATACTGAGGTGAAATTGGCAAATTCTCGTACACACCAGGAGTGGAAATATTTTGAATAAATGTATGAGTTCCAGTATTGATGAGATTCAGCCATAACCGAGTCTCCTAATCAGGATTCGTATGCCAGATGGTAGTTTGAT